ATATATCAATTTAAAATAAATATTGATGAATTCCTTAGCTACATTGCTCAAAAAACTTGAAAGTCAGGTACATAAAAAATATAAATTCAAGCCGTATTTTTTTAATTTCCTAACTTCGGCAATTTGTATGAAATTGCATTAGGTGAGGTCTCATTTTATTCGAAATAAATGTTTTTTTAGACAAACGTCACTTATTTGGCCACTTTGATAGAAATTTTTGAAATAACCGATGGTCAAATTTGAAAAATTGAGAAAAATTTACCCAATGGAAACTCCCAACAAACCAAGTCTCACATAAATATTTATTTATTTATTTTTAAGTTCTATAAATCCCCTTTTCAAAACATATTTTTGGGTTTTAAAATCGTATGAAGACTAGTCAAGCTGCGTGTAGATAGGTGCATCAAGTACGAACATAACGGTGGTTTTTTCACGTTTCTCGTTGTTCTCGACACTCGGGTGTATTTCGTAAGTTTTTTTGTTTCTTGTAGCACCGTGTTATTGCTTGGAGACTAACTCATCTCCAATTTGCTCGTAAGGGATGAGTCGGGGCGTGCTTGAGGTCAAATAATACCCAATTAATCCCCATCTAGGCTTATCCGGGAATAATCTCTTTAGGGATTATGCGGACAATGTTTCGCAGGGTATTCATATAAAAATTATATAATATAATGATAGTGATAATGGTAATGGTAATAAAAATGGAAATCTTAACGATACGAGTAGTGGTAATTTTAAGGTACTGGTAATGGTGATGCTAATGGTAATGGTAATGTTAAAGGTACTGGTAATGGTAATGTTAATGATAAAGGTCGTGTTCACGGTACTGGTAATGGCAATGGTAATTTTAACATAATTGTAATGATAATGATACTGGTAGTGGTAATGGTAATGCTAATAGTAATGGTAATGATAATGATACTACTAATGGTAATGTAGTTACTGTACTTGTAATGGGGTAATGGTAAGGTGATAATGGTAATGTGGTAACGGTTTCTGCAAATTACCTGAATGGTGGTAATGATAAAAATATAAAAAAATACGACTATAAGTATGATATGTATACATATGTATGTAAATATTATTTGCCAGAGTTGGGCAAGAAAGAGCTAAATAAGATTTGTTTTTGTTGTCACCATGACAAGCTAAAAAATGGAACAGCACCTCTAAATCATGCAATCCTACTAACAAAATGACTGCTCGTTATTCCGCCCATGATAAAAATATAGTAAGGTAGAACCGCTGAGAGTCACTTTTAAAATTCTTGACGTTTCCAAACAATTTAATTTTTAAATTTACTCACAAACTCACACACACATTTTCATTTTCAATCTCAAGCAACAACAATTTCGTACAATTTCAATTTTTTATTTTCACTTTTATATGATTTTAAAATGTTGGCAAACTTCAAAAAAAAATCATGGCCGACAAATTGAGAGAACGGTTATACCTTGCTATGTTTTTATCATGATTCCGCCTATTGAAACATTTAACAAAAGTCAACTTACCTTTCTTTCAAATTTTGCATAAAAATCAAAAAAATATACATATATATTTTCAAATTTTATTGTCAGTGAAAAAAAGAAATCGATTGGTACATATGTATCACTTAGTTGTAGCACATTTCCTTCATAGTGAATTTTTCAATGGCAAGTTTTCATCAATGACAGCTATGTTCGATCCCTGCAAATTTCGAAGAATAACAAGCAAAAGAGGTAAAATAGTATAAATGTCTCAAAATGTAGAAATTAATCACACAACTGCAAGTCAGTATGCAAATATGACAAGCACGTAATTTATGATTTATACCCATAGATTGTATGCTAACGGGTGATTTTTTTGAGGTTAGGATTTTCATGCATTAGTATTTGACNTCGTTAGTAAGTCTATTCATGATGAAATGTCAAAGCATACTGAGCATCTTTCTCTTTGACACCATGTCTGAAATCCCACGTGATCTGTCAAATACTAATGCATGAAAATCCTAACCTCAAAAAAATCACCCGTTATAAGTGACTTAGATGAAATATTTGCCAGTCACTTTTGTGTACATAAATATATTATTAATCGTATTTTCATTGTTATTTACATAGCATGTGACATACATAGATGACGTATATCATTGGCAAGTAATGTGAAATTCAGATCGCATTTAATATCTAAAAATAGTGCCTTTCATCTTAATTTTGAAATATATCCAGTTCCGCGTAATCCTTTCGGCACCTCTTAGTAGAAGCAGCCAATAAGGGAATATTATGGAGTTTAATTTTTGTTAGTTTTGAATTTTTATATAATGACAGAATTCTGATTTAAATCAGTATCCGCACCACAAAATTTTTAGAAATATAATAACCCCCTCTCCCAATCGATTTGACGTCACGCGTCCGCCAAAAAAAAATATAACTACCATTATTTCCTATAACGACTATACATTTTTATTTCGCGTAATCTCTAGAATCTAAATATGTTTTCTGTATACTACTTACTCTTTGAAGATAGCATTTTACGTGCTAGGACTCAATACAATTTTAAACGATTTACTTACTGCATTCAGCAAGTCACATTTTTATAGTAAATCTTTTTTAATCACTAAAAATTCACAAGCACACATACATACATTGTCGTATGTAGTCACAGTGGATTTCCCACGCCGTTGATCACGTTTTCTTCACTAATTCATTACTTGTTATTAGTCATGTGCTGCTTACCAATAATTGGTTAGGTTTTTGGTAACAGCACTGGCAGATCCATCATCAATACTTACCTATATTGACAGCTCTTCGCATGATAGTTTCTCTGGATTTAAAACCAAATAAAATACGTTCGCTCGCTTAGAAACTCTCAATTCTGCTCTCATGCGATAAGGCCATATCTGCAAAGTTTGTGCATTTCTAAGAACAGTTGTTTGGTTGTATCGTCATGGCCCATCCTTTTCTTTTAATTGAAGAGCTCAAATAACGCCAGTCTAATTAAACAATACTTAGCATGCAATTTGCATATGCGATTACGTAGAAAAGCGGATGTTGAATGTATGCAAATATAGCAGGTGGTAATAATATTGTAAACAGGGTGTTTCACATACAAACGTAAAAAAATTGATTATTGATACTTTTATGGCTACAAAATGCAGAAGATGAAATATTAGTTTCCTCTATTTAAATACATTTTTCACAGAATATGAGCCAATGCCTAAAAAAGTTTTTTTTTTTCAAAATCAGCCGTTTAGAACTGGAATCGATTTTCGATTCGGCTTTTATTCCGAAATTCAAATAGCGGTTGCCCCTCGCCAGCTAATGGCAAACTGCCGGGAGAACATACATATGTATATGTATATGTGTCATGAAATCGCTTCCCATACAAATTATCTGCAAGTTCGAGACGGTGTACAAATGTATCTAGGTGTTCTTATTTGTGTGAAAACCAGAGTTGATATTTTAAAAACAATTGCAAATTTTTTGATTTAAAAAATCCAATTTTTAGATTTTCGGTAAAATCAAAATATCCATTACTTTCTTTCTACCATACATATACCTCTGGAATTACTAAGATTTATTTATAAAAAATTTAGCCTAACACATACTGCCTAGTGCTGGGCCGATGCTCTCTTCTAATTTGTGATGTGTGGTCTGATGTTATCACATGAATGGATATTCCACTATCTGTGGAGTTTCCAGATATGTCGTTCATATAGTGGATTCTTTTTAAACAGAAAGATCAAGTGGAGAAAGACTTTGCTTCACTTTTCATTTCTAATCGATGCAAGTTGGCATTGAAGAGAAACGACTGGCGTGCTTTGTTGCACTCGGCCAAAATCGCATAAGCGGTTACAGTGCCAAATAAGAAGAAGAAAAAGAGCAGGAAATAATGTTACTCATACGCCATAAACGAGTATGTATTTCATTTTTAAAATAAGTAGCTCCACTAATGCAGCTTTACTCGATTAAGAAACTTTTCTCATGTTGCACATACGGACGTTTCTTTTAATATTTTTCAGTAAAAAATTACCATTTACAAAATGTTTACGGTACGTCAAAAGACGTTGAGTCACAGTTTTTACGGGTGAGAAAATTCTTTTAAAGCGATAGTGCGGTAAGATTTCTCAAACAAGTCTGAAAAGAAATTTGAAATTAGCCAATACACTCCATCTGCACTTTTCACAAAAATTAGATTCTGATATTACAATCCGCCTAAGACTTAACTGTGTTTGGTCATATTTATGCTGATTGTGTTAGAAGAATTTACTATTAATCTGCAAAGTTAGGATTAAGATCAGTGATGACAGGTAAGTCCCAGATGTGTTCTAATATCACCAAAATTGCAGATAGAGGGTATTGAATATAAGCCCTCGGTATGATACAAAAATGCGAGAATTTAGATTGCATGCATTTGTTTCCGTTTCTTGATATGCCTATTGCATTAATACAGGGCGTATACGTAATATTTCAAGTCTGATGCGGCTATGCCATATAGATAGTGTAGTATATGAGGTTGTTCAAACTTGCCTGGTTATCAGGTTATCTGGTTAAAAATTATTATTGTGTAGTGTATTTTATTATTGTAAACTGAGTAAAAAATCAAACCACATAATGTGATAACCAGGCAAGCGTGAACAACTTCAATATATTTGATTTTAAAGTCACATTTTCTATAAATAATATTAACCAATTGAGGTCTTCTTAAACACTGCACCATTTCCAAACACCCTATAGGCGAACTTATCTTACTTATGTACAATTATCAAACAAGAAAAAAAACACACCAAAAAGATAAAGAATACACTTCTTATCAATATGTGTCGATACACAAGATAGCTAGGGAAAAACATGTCTACATTTAACGCTCTCTACTCAACCCTTTTGCCATACTTCCGAACTACAGCTGTGATTGCAGCTGGCCAACAACAACAATGCATCCACCTTCGTTTCGCTATCATTGTCGTTCACTGTTAAAGGGGCGTCTTAAGTAGCAGCACGAGAAATCATTTATAATCAGTTAAAGACCGGCATTCGCTGTGAAACAGTTAAATTGTGACTTGTACAAATTGGGAAAGCCTAAATAAATACATATTTATAGCAGCTACATATTAAAGTGGAGTAAGGCAAAAAAAAAGAGCGAAATAGTAAAGTGACTGCATGCACAAGTGTTCTATAAACTTGCATAAATAAATAGCTAATTAAAAATCATCACACACAACACTTAAAATTGGATGTCTGCTCAGTTAAATTGCAACTAAACATATTAAAAAAAAAAATGTTTTCGAAGTTATTGCAATTGTCTGTCTGTACGTTGTTAGTGTGCACCTTGCTGGTGGTAAGCATGCCAACTGAAACGGAAAGCCGGCGTGTCATCTTCTATGCGCCACAACGCATACAAATTTTCACGTCACAGATTTTATCGGCGCGAGCGAAAGAAAAACCCTGTGCGAAGTGTCATATGCGAGATCATCGCGGGATTTGTCGACGTCTGCTGTCATTCAATAGTAGTGAGTGTTTGTTTCTTTTGCTTTTATCACATACATACATACATATGTGCATGCGTACGTATGTATGTATGTTATTTAAGCGAGAATTCTATTCCCACTGCTTGGGGAATCCATAAACATAAAATGTTTTCATAATAATACTGCGCCTATCGTCAAGCAAAAAAACCTTTGCTCTTTGCTCATCTATCTAATCTTATTGTTAAATTTTTGTTTTTTTTAATTGTTGTGCTTTTACTTTGCAGATGGCATTAAATGTTAAATTATTGCTGCGGTAATTTCGCTGCGTCAATGGAATCTCCTTTCCTGTTCTTGTGAAAAAAGCGAACAGGGGTCGGTGCTTGCGTGTTTGTCTGACATAATCAAACACTGATTATATTTACATATAAGCTGTACTAATTTATTCTAGATTTAAATGAATATGTAAAATATTTGAAGAGTTTTAGACAAAAATACAAATGAAAAATAAATAAGTGAAGAAAATCAATAGAAATAAATTATAAACAAATACCATTTAAATCCAAAAAAATGTAGTCTTTTTGCAATTCTGGCATTAGTTGCGAACTAGAATGGATTTATTTACTTTTATTTATTGACATATATATTTTTGTTTTATCTTGACACCTCGCCGCTGTAGCCGAGTGTGCTAAGTGAAGTTTGGCTTATCTCATTTAAGAGTTACGGGTTCGAATCCTAACTCGGACGAGTAATGTCAAAATTTATAGAAATTTTTTTCGCAATTTCTAAAAGCAACAACCTACTTACGAGTAGTACTCTGCCATGAAAATGCTCTTAAAACCCCCATTTCGTTCGGATCCAGAATTAAAGTGTACGTGCCTCCATTTTAAATAAGATTGCCTGCGCCAATTAATAAGAAGAAAATACCTAGCGGCCGTCGATTTTCTAGTGGCGGTCTCCCATCGGCAGCCAATGGAAATCGTATCGGTAGATAATGAAAGAAAACGCGGCCCTTAATCACGCTTAGGCATTTATATGTTAAACAAAGTTAATTACACTAATCTTAGAATTATTTTTGCATCGAATAATAGGACCCCAAAAACCTTTTTCAGAAAATGGCCAGAACGCTGTTCATAATAAAGAAGGAGAAAAACTGTTTAAAATTTTGTTGTTGCAAAGGTTGCTCTTTTTAACCTTTCAGTAGGTAAATTAAGGCTTTAAATTGAAATTAGCTAATTTGCTTCATTTTTTTTGTGCCCACTGTATAAATGGAGTATACAGCTAAGTGTAATTTAATATTTAATATTTTATACGAATATTAAAAAAAAAACTACTTACAAACTTTTTTAACACAACCTCAAGTTAAATAGTGATTTCTTAGACCCCTTCGGTCGTCAAGGGTTAAAATATTTTTTTTTTTTACAAAAAGTGTGGAAAATCATATGTCAGTCAATAAAAAACGCAGGTTTATTTAAATCATCTACTTATTTAGTCGTAATTAGTTTTGGCCAGAAAAACAGGCATTGGGACCATAGTACAGTGATGGGCAAAATTCTATTTATTTATTTTAAACTAATAAGTACAAAGGGTTTGAGTTATATATGAATCGGTTAATTACCAAAGGGAATAGGTCAGAGTATTTCCTATATTTCCTAATTACAGAGTTTACAAGTCATAAATGTATTAACTTATTTTCACAGAACTAAATAAATACCCAGCGTAAAAGTGCCGAACTTCAACTCTAGATTGTGGCACCCCTTGTGTTTTTATACAAATGGAAGGACCTACAGTTTACGAATCGGCGAATGGATCTTATAAAAAGCATTTTCACGGTAGAAAACTTAGATGTTGGCCGAGCCATGCAGCCAAGGTATTATGGAGTGGTAGTATGCATCTCTAACCACTCAAGCAAAGCGACCGCCACAAAGCCAAAGACTGCAGCAAATATTCAAAGCAATCCGAAGAAAATCTTTGGAAGTTTGGGAAATTCTGAAAATTATGAAGCTTTTGTGAAGGCATGACAATTAAAAAGCAAAAACTACCGATAATTCTACTTTTTACTGAACCGTTAAGCATTTAGAAATCTACTTAATACATTCGCGTTGTAGTGTTTAGCTTGCCTCTAGTACTTACTTGAGTAGTTAGCATTTCTTAGATATTTTAATTATTTTTACTTGAGTTTTTGATTGTTTTCTACTTTAGTATTTAGGCATGCCTAAACTGCGAATGCCGCAATTTTTTTGTTCATTTAATTTTTGAATGATTCAATAATCTTTGACTGCATAATCCAGTTATAAATTTTATGAAACATGCGACGTAGAACTGAAAGCGGAAAGTTATGACTCAGAATGTTGCGACCGCTGTGGTGTAATGGTTAGCTGTGCATACTATCATTCTGCAGGCCCTGGGTTCAAGCCCAGTTTTCGATAAAATAAAAGAAAAAAAGAAAATATAAAAAAACTTTTCTAAGAGCGGTCGTCCCTTGGCAGGCAATGGCAAACCTCCAAGTATATTTCTGCCATGAAAAACAGCTTCTCATAAAAATATAATCGCCTTCCAGAGTTGGCGTAAATCTGTAGGTTGTTCCTCCCATTTGTGTGACAACACCAAGGAGCAGGCCACAAATCGGAGGAGAAGCTCGGCCAAACATTAGAATATTATATAAGCGCCAATCTGTTATTATTATGTAGCTATATTTGGCCTTTAATATGTGCAAGTAGTTGAATGTCAATCAAAAGACAAATTTCAAAACAAAGAAAATATAATACTGAAAATTTTTCACTGCAATACTTAGGTTTGTACTATGTATATATATGTGAATATATATGTACCTGTTTTTTAATATTGCTGAGTTGCTTGTTGTATTTTTAGCGATGATTCTTATGTAGTAATTCCACTAGTTTTTATTCAAATTTAGCTGCTTAGAAAAAGATACTTAAATGTATAAAAAAATTGGTATTTCCATTCTATTTTTTTCGGTTTGTATAACAGTAAATTTTGCTCTGTACTCGGCCCAAACATGCTCCCTCAGCATGGAGTAGCTGGGTAAAAAGGAAACGGATTCCCATCTGACCTTCAGGAGAAAATTTCACCCATTTCTGAATTTCGATATCTTAGGAAAGTTTTCTTAGGTAGGTTTTAAAATTTATCTGCGCTTTAAACACAAATTTTTTCTCAAAAAAAAAAAAAATGTACTTACAGTAGTACGAGGAAAAAAGGCATTTTACTTCGTAATAATTAGGCGAAAGCTGGATTTTTGCCAAAGTTGTAACCTGCAACAGAGCTATGCATTTTTCGACATTTTTGTTTTTTGTAATGCTTGTGGTAGCGCACGATGCTTCAGCATATATTTTCAAAAACTTCCGCGCTAACAGGCATGAACTTAATCAACAACAGATACTTTTTTTTCTACACGAAGAAAGAACGCTAGTAAAAAATTTTTAGTCCGCTTATTCCGAATATTTCCTTCGTTGCAATTGCTCCTACTGTGTGAATTATTCCGAAACTAATGTAACTTTTCAATGAAAATAATATGTACTTTGCATTTGGCTTTATCGAAATGACTTTGCCAAATATGGTCAGAATTTCTGATAGTTTGGGATAAACAAACAAATTCTAAGGATATATTTTGAAACCGCAGGCTAATAATGACTATAATGCTATAAATACTACTCGTTTTTTCTTTGTCTCAATCTGGATTGTTAAAACATTTATTAATTAGTATTTTATTACATATTTAATCCTATTCACGTACATAAACTATTTGTATTTCAGATGTTTTTTTATGTATGTATGTATAGTTAGAATATAGTGAAGTATGCATGTATTTATTGATCATGACAAATATTCGGCGAATGACCAAATTTAGCTTTTTTAAACTACAAATGTTATCTGATCTTTCGAAGTTGATTAGATTATCGGTTAACTTGTAATTCAAAAATCCTATACATTTTTGGGACAGAAAGACATGACATGGCCCGCCGTTGATATGCCCACCAAATGCGCAAGTCATCAGCATGAATTTTATGAAGGATTAGCATAATATCTTCTTTGTCAGACTTGTAAGGCGGCCAGGCGCACAGTGGGAAGCAATCCATATAAAATGTGGGCAAAAATAGAATTGTGGACGGATTTAAATGAAAAGTCGCTTCTGAGTAAAATTGAGGACGCTAAATTCAAAAATGCAATTGGTTTTTGGATAACTTTCATACTTTCACTGTAAAGGCAGTTTGAAGTTGAAAATTTGGGTTCTTGTGGCTTTTACATAGGTATGTATATATAGTTCATTCTATTTTCAAAAGTGAGGTGTCAAATGACAGTGCTTAGCCTGTAGATGTGCAATAAAGTTTCTTACTTTTGAAAAGGGTTGCCACATGTTTAAAAATTTAAATTCACTTTAATTAAGGGAATAAGGTAGCTGAAATATGTATATCAATATGAATATCAGACAAATGAAAAAATTCGATATATTTAGCAAGAAATAAGTGGAGAGTAAAAAGATTCCTGAGTTAATTTAAGAGTCCACTAATTTAAAAGGAATGTAGTCAGAAAAAATCATTGATTGACAATGTATATATTTGTAATAAAATAACAAATACGATGGCGTAATCTTATGGTTTGACGTAATTATTATTTTAGTTTAACTAAATTCGATTTTAAAAACAGGTGGCAACCTTATTCGTAATATTTTTAAGCTAAAACCTTCTTAAACCTCTTTCGTCTTACTCCCTTATACCTATCTATTTCAATTACCCAATTTCTTTAATTCAAGTGGAATTTGATTTTTTAAACAGGTGGCAACTCTCTAGATGTAGCTAATACACAGTTCCATTGATACCCATATCTTACTAATTCATTTAACTCATAAAAAAGTTTTAATCTAATTTTTTAACAGGTGGCAACTCTCTAAAAAATAAACCTTCTATTGTCCACAGGGCAAGCTTTTTAATCTGACACTTCATTTTTGTAAATGGAACGAATCGTGCAGATCACTGACAAAAAATGAAAAAAATTATTTTATGCATTAGCAAAAAACGCATTAGTTCAGAAAGTGCAAAAAATGGGCAGGTTTTTATTTATTTTTTTGAAAGCTAAAAGCCCATACTATTTAATAAAATAATAAAAAATAACTTATTTTTACATATATTTTTTATTTTTATTTATAAAATTTAGCACTTTTTGAAATTTTGTCTAAAAGTTTTTATTTTTTTTGAACACCGCAGGGACACCCTGTTTAATTTTATGCCAAAATCTTAATTCCTGTAATTCTCTACTATATATATGGAAACAAGAAACGTCAAACCAATATTTTATTTCAAAGGATATATTTTTGAATTTTTTTTTGTGAAGAGCTTACACATGACTATGCTCTTATAAAAATTCTTAGTATAAAATTTGTCAACTGTAGTGGCTTCCTGGCGGCATTAATAAATTTTTTAGGGAAATGTCTGTTTAATTATTTTTAGGGAATAATTTATTCCTTTATTCTTTACAAAAATACCAAACAAGTTCACATTGCAGATAACGAATTTTTCGATTTTTGCCCACTTAGGCGGCACTGTGAGGCGTAGGGGTATCGCAGTATTTTACTAGCTCTGATTTGGTTTTACTAAATGTTATGTTATCTCAATTTTTAATAAATTTGACATTGAAAAAAAAAATGCAAAACTCAAACACATTTTTGGTAGGGTTTGGTTGGTTTTGGTAGAAAAAAAAAATTTCCTGTGACAACACTGGGTGTGAATGACTAGGTTTGCTTTTGCTAACACTTTTTTTTGCCTGCAAATATCATCTGCTACTCCGTTTTCTGAGCATGATTTTAGGCAGCTAAAAAAATTGCAAGTTATTCATGACTTCTGGGTATTTTAGATATGTTTGCATTCATAAATAGTGTTACTCGTGTGCGCGTAAATGTGTCATTATAATTACTTTGAGACGATAACTTTTAATTGTGATTTAGCGATAAGAAACATAACGTCATCGATTGTGGTTGTCGTCAAGCGCTGCTATTAAACCATCGACGCCGAAATTTCTTTGCGGAAATGAAGTTATTTGTAATTACTTTTCTATTGACATTGCAAATACGTAAGTAGCTACCGGTGAATACACATCCATATCCGTATATACTACATACGTGCATATAAATAAATAGTAATTATGTGTACATAGGTCGATTTCATTGTAATTTTTAAGAAGTTTTTTACGTCACATATACAATTAGTTTGCTGGAGTTCCAGTTATACGCGTAGTTGTGCGAAAATAGCATCAGTCTAGCAAACTAATGCAGAACTAGTCCACTTTCACCAATCACATAACCTAGTAGTAGGAATTGTTCAGACAATATTCCTGCGTACAGCATGAAATACTGACGAAAGGATTTTTAGACTGAAATGAGCAATATCAGATGGGATACGATTTTTGTGCGTTGGAGTAGACCTCACTAAGGATATCACGGGTTTTTTCGAATATTAGTACTGATCTTAAATCTTCTTTTGACCTGTCTTCTAACTTCGCGAATTAAAAGGCCCCAAGAATTTCAATCGCATTTTTCAACTATGTAAAATTTGAGCATGGAAATTGCTCCGCTGCTAAGTTATAAGCCGGTAGCATAAAAATGATAACTCTACGACCTTTTTGCGACCTTTTTAATAGGAAGTTAATATATTTTGCTTTTCTATTTTTGTACACGATTTTTGTAGGTTTTATAATGGCTATCTAGTTCGATAGATTTAGCTCTAGACTATATTTTTATATAGCCGTCATTGTGCAAGTATTGAATTGGTGTTTGTAGGTCATTTATTTGTTCAAAAGTTGAATTAATGATGCTCGTGACAGTTTCAACTGCTATCTCGTTACCTTTTATTCTCTGGTGAGAAAAGCACACATTTTCTATCAGCGAGGCCTTCTACAAGCGACCAGCATATCAATGGCTTTCCAGCTTCGAATGACTTTAGATGATAACTGTCGACGTAGTCGTTAACTTTCTAGTTATTTCTTATTTTTTAGGCTAACTTTGCACTTCAAAACAAAAAGTTCCGCACTTGTACTCGGCTTGACCCCACAACTAGTCAGATTCGCTTTTCCACCGTTATCAAACCACCTTGTTGCTACCCATAAACAACCTACATTCATTCATGCTACATGTCGCGGTCATCTCACCCGGAGTGAAAATCGACTCTCAACCCCCGTTCGAGTCGCTTGACTCACCTCATTCACACTGCTCGTCTCACTACTCTCGCAGGTCTTTCTAGCCTTGCTGGGGAGCCCAGCCCGGGTGCACAATAGGCATGGATTGTAGTTCCTTTTCTGGTTTTCTACACCCGCTCGATCTCCTTGACGAACCACATTTTGCCAATCTAACCAGCTGTACGATCTTACACGTGCATCTAGCTTGTCTTTCAGCCTAGTTTATCTAACTAGTTTTGCTTATCTAGCCAACGAACACACTCCAGGGGCATCTGTTCGCCCGCGGTACCCTTTTTAAAGTCTTTGGTATGACTTTCGAAGGCCGAAGATACTTCTGCCAATTGTGCCCTCTACCGACTCAGAATTGGTAGCCTTTGACTGGGGTAGCCGGGATTGTGAAGCCCATACCCTGGCAATGCCAAAGCTTCCTGACTTCCCTCCTGTTTTCTCAAATCGGGCTTGGGCCCGTCTAATCACACTTCCATAATTAGACAAGAGGCCATATAGGCAATGCCATGTGTTCCATGGTACTAGAGCTTAGTTTTCCAGTTGAGCAAAATATGTCCTAAGCATCTCCAGCTGAAGTCCCCTCATCGTTCTATCCGCTGTTTTAGCAGCAAGGTTATTTAACGGTAGTAGTAGGTTGACGGCTGACACACTCAGAATACTTTCTTTAGAAGCTTTCCAGGACAGGATAGTGCGTCAATTCAGCATTTTCTCTTCTAAGCAAATGCCTCTTACAGCATTACATTCTTGCCAACTCTGCTTAATGCTTTCCTGTCCTGATAGACTCCTACGTCCTCTGCCAATGTTAGAGATTCGGGAGTTAGGGGGTTTTCGTTCACATGGCTGCTTCTATGAAACCTAAATAGATTTCCAGTTTTCGTTAAAATAAGACAAGTTCAGTTAAGTTGAGCTAAGTTAAGTTTTTTAAGTACATTTGAGTAGCGCACTACTCATCAAGTGGACCGTATGAACCCTCCGGCTTCGACATTCCGGTATTGCTTTTGCACTTAATCAGTATGTATCCGTTAAGTTATGTTAAGTTCAGTTCAGTTATATAACTAAAGTCTCGACTAACTCATTTCGTTCACCATACCTACAAATATATATAACAGTCCCAGTCTGTATTCATTCCCCTTCAATTAGGAGCAGTCATATATTTGCGTTGCTGGTATTTTTTTGACCCCGTCTAAATTTTTACTACAACAGTAAATGGTGCTTAGTAATAACCAGAAATAGCTACAAATTCCTTAAAATTACTTATTGGCACCATGTCAGCGACGATTACTATAAAAAAAAGTTGTGTAAAGAATTTCGTTGCGATTAATGAGTAAAGGTTCATAAATTCGATCAGTGGCGGAGCAAAAAAAGGGGACAAAAAGTTAAGTGAATACGGCGGTAAATAAAAAAAAAAACAAATTGCATATAAAACTGTAACGTAATTTGGTGCAAAATAACGAGTTATCTATCTCGACTTTTCTTTTCATTCGCTTTTTTTTAAATATCACGCGTGACTAATGTCACACTCTCATCTTGTTTTTATTCAGCATTTTTGGAAAATTCATCATGGAAAGGCTCCCACCCCAACAACGTATCCAAATTATTCAGCCGTAGTACGAAAATCATCACTCTGTAAGAAAGTTTTTCGTGCGATTCGATTAACATATGGTATGTATTATGGGAGTTTCACTGTATTTTTAAAAAGTAAATGTCAGATATTGATCTTTCGGGTAGTAATAATGACTCTGTTATGTCGATGGATCATCGATTATAAAATCTCTTTAACTCAACTGCCAAATTTTGTAACTACCTTAAACTCCAACGATCAAAATCTAAGAAAAAGTTCAAACTGAAAATCAGAAACTACAAAAATATTTATGGAAAAAAATCTGCATTTCAAAAACTCACTCAAATTTTAACCCCTTTGTTTAGTTACAGCGCCGCCACTGCCTGCGACTGTAATCTTATCAGCGAATTGTTTTCTCTGATAAATCCAATCACCCCTCCACACGTTCGGCAGCCGACGATGAGAAGACGTACAAATAGCAAAAATATTTCACGCCAGCTATCAATATAAGACGACACGCGAACCTAGCAAGCAGGTCGTGCACATAAAAAATATCGGTTTCAACGCATGCTATGGTATCGTGATATCTTTACACACCTTCGAATATTCAAATACATATCTATCAGTGCAAAGTGTTCGGTCTCGACTTTCGGTTCTTAAGTCTACAAGCTGGAGTGATTTATAGTTTTTAACTTTGTTTCGCACATACATATATGTACTTTACATAATTACAAATGCATACTAAAGTGATTCTGTCGTTACTCTTTGCATTCATTGTGATCTTTGCCAATCTGTGTACAACGATTGAATCGCGTAAAGTGATCTTCTACAATCGTCAACCAACAGTGCAAAAGAGTCAGCTGCTATCCACACAAATCATGTCGAAGCCATGTCCAGCCGGTAAAATGCGAGATCATCGTAATCGTTGTAGGCGAGCCATTATATTTAGTAGAAGTAAGTACTGGATAAGCGTGTCGCGTATGGAAGAGCGTTATGTGTTGACCCAAAGACTGAGAAATTTGCCTATTTAAAAAAAAACGTTAATGAAAAATCCAATTTTTTTTGTGTAAATCATCAGAACGGTAAGTGTCAATTGTGTTTACCGAAGAGACGGTGCAAAGTACGGTCGTCCACGAAACGTGGGAATGCCTAAGTTATTAAGGCCGTAGAGCATTGAAATCGACGAAAACTGCTGCGCAAGCAGAAATTAATATAAGCAACGCCTGTTTGTTGAACATTATAAAACGTAACTTCCCTGTCGGGAAATGCGTAGTCGATTACTAAAATAGCCAACTTTTGGCTCGATTATTACGGCTAACTTTTAATTGGTTTCAAAGTCAGGCAGCGCTCAGCCGAAGAAATGTGTGTGTTTAGAATTTGTTTCACAATTTTCACTTTCAACAAAAAAAAATGTGTTAAAAAAAAAACAATTAGATATGTATCCAAATATTTTGTCATTTCGTTTTTCTATTGGAAGCGAGGAGACTTGAATTTGTATTATATCTTCAGCAATATAGCCATAAATAACAAGCATGTACACTGCCGGCAAAAAGTATTGGCACAGCGAACTTTTCACAACATATACAACAATTTTTTTTTTTTGTAATATTTTACCGCTAGTTTTTTATAAAAATATGGTTAATTCAACAACAAAAAACATAAAATATAATTCCTAAACTTTGTGCAACACCCGTGGAAATTCAGCAAATTTTCATACAGATTTTTTAGAATTTGTTTGGTATGCAGTTTCGCAGCATTAAATTGTAGTAAAAAAATGCAAGCTCGGAGTTAGTCAAAAATCGCATTGATTTTTGAGATTTTTTTTTTTTGTTCACGGTATTTTGCATTTTTCCATATAAGGTATTTTCAAAAAAAAAATTTTATTTTTAAAGAGACTGCGTGAAAAAAGAAATCCAAAAATCACGTTAATTCCTCGCTACTTAAAATTTGCGTGGTTTGTAATAATAAAATTGATTGTGCTAAATGTCTGCGTACTCAAAAAAACATAAAAAATAGGAACTATATTTTTATGTTATTTGTTGTACAGTTAACCTTTTTTTTAAGTATTATGCATGTAGGAATTTTATTTTTTTTTTGACGGGGTCTAATCTAAATATCGCACATTTAATAATATAGAGAATTAATTACAACTTTACGTTATTGGAGATTTCATCACACAATTCTTAAGATTGATAAGGAGAATATGTTCAGCCTAACAGATGTCTAAACTTTCCAAAAATGTCGAAGCTATGGGTTTTTCCATCGGTGCTTTGTATACCAAATGTATGAATTAATCATACTTGAATTGTCATTTTCCAAAGAATTGGAATTTTAAAAGAATTCTGTATATTATCAAACGACCGATATGTATGCACGTATGTACTTGCATTATCCTCAACATAATTGACAAATATTGTCGGCGCTAATAGGCTCAGCTCAGCTGCAAGCTATCTTTTTGTATGGAGCGTAGAGAGAGGTCATTTATCTTCCTGTATTTATATACAATTTATTCTTTTGTTTTATTCTATTTTATTAGCTATATTTTTAACATTGCAGAGTCTAAATAACACAAATGTCTCCACTGATTTAATGGTCACTGAGTGATTTTCCATCGAATTCTCCGAAATCAACTGTGGGAATGGGACGAAGCGTATTAGGAGTTCTTCATTCAGCAAAGCGGTTTCTTATTGTAGTAATTATCTATAAATATAACTTAGTTTAATTATAAGATAATTACTTCGTTTAAAAAGTATTTATGTATAACCAACCAGCAAGACAGCAGTGACAAATTATAAAAGTTCATATATGGCGATTTGGGTCATATGAACGTGTGTATGAGTATATGTCTGTATTTATCGGTGCGAATGTTAAAACCTAAAGATATCGTATTTGGTTATTTATATAGCTTACCTGCATAGTTTTCTAAGATCGACATAACTAGTATTTATGTAGATATATCTAAGAGAAATTAAGTAACATTTTTTACTTACATATGAACATTGGTATCTTTTGTTTACATACGTTGTTTCTGTTTATCTACAATAAATCATTATTTGTTTTTGTATTTTTTATCAAATAAAAAACTATTTTAACGATAAGCAAACATTGATTACTTTACGAATATATGTATATACATTTATGGTGCAATAAATTTTTAGCACTTCAACGTTTTTCTGTTATTTCTGTTAGAAGCACGTTTTACCTTGGTACAGAAATTTAAAACGCGAGTCAAATCGGTTAAAGCAAAAAAAGCAGAAAAAAATTATAAAAATTAAGCGAAAACATAAAGCAAAGCTAACTTAAAGTAAAATAACCAACATTGAATTGCGTCAAAATTAAAATAAAGGCAGCCTGAATTTCGATGTGAAGCAAAACTCTCTGGGAAGCTAATACCTGTGAATAATTATAATGAGCTGCACCTGTGTGTGTGTGACCGGAATGAGTTAGTAAGCACGCGCGATTTCTGACCAGGGATGCCAACTCTGTCAAAGCCGATTGCACAACACAACAAAGGTTTTCCTTAATTATTTGGGGTAACTGGATTTTCTATTTTTTAAATAAAAAAGTAAGAAATATAACTGTAATGCAATATTTAAATTTATATAGCCAAAAAGTAATTCGCTGCGTTTGTCAGATTGTTCGTGAATAGTTACGAATAAAGCATACATACACCTTGAGTATAACCGTTGAAAAATTTTCTTCTCAGTATGTAATATTTTGGCATTTTCTTCGACTTCTGAGGGCTTAGTTTTGTCAGGTTAGTAATAAAATGAAATTTATTATTAACTTCCTTAGGCTTGGGTGTTTTTATAACCATATAGCTTTTAAGGGTTAAATGCCGCTTTATTGAGTTTACAGGTATTTACTTTGGGTCGTGCGTGTCTTGTTACCATCAGTGTATTTTTTTTGACCGCCCTAGGCCCGGGCGTATTGGGCCTTCGGGCAAATCCGCTACTAGCGGTACCGTTGGTTGTGCGAAGTTATGCGTATTCCCTATTGTATCTGAAGTGAATGCGATTGGTTATAATACACCGCTTATAACGTACAATTAACCCTCCGATGAGTGACAGTGCCGATGACGTTAGAGTCGTGAGAAGGTCCTTAGGGACCTACAAAGAGTTGCTCGATGTTTCGACTGTACATGTGCAACTTCTTTGGTATTTATGTTGTCTTTTGATTAAATTAACGTCCTGCATATATATTAGGAATGAAATAATTTGAAGAACAAGTGAAAAAAAATCAAAACATGAAGACAAGTAACTTGTTATTTCTTCTAAAATTGTACAAGGTCCCTAGGGACCTTGTCACTAATCCCCGTACTATATATGTTGAAATCTCAATAACACTCGAACGTGATCCCGTATCCCTTCGAAACTTATTTTAAACGATTCAGCTTAATTTATTCTTGGAATACATGTATAAATTCTTTTCAAAAATGCATTGAACAAAAAGATATAGGCACATGAAATACGAAAAGGTCCCTAGGGACCTTCTCACAAATCGAAGGGTTAACATATCCTTACGATTTGTTACGTTCCGCCCATGCGTTATAACTTTATTCCGAAGAATCGCATCAGTTAGAAACTCTCGATAAACTTGGTTCAGTAATGCTGCTACTCAAGCGATCACTTTTAGATAAAGATCGTATTACCGTTACTGGCAACTATTATAACAGCTTAAAATTGGCTGAGTACCTAAAAAGTCGCAGAATTGACTCGTCACTTAATTAAGATCTCAGCATTCCATCGAGATGGTATGCCTAACCTGACTTCCATAAGAGGTAATGTCTTCTATTCAGATGCAATAACCGACTATAATGACGCCTAAAAACCAACTTGCTTCATTCCATTCTCCTTTGCGATGCTAGGATATACTAGATGCACATCCAACGAGTTGGCAGTCAGCCCTAAGTTGACAATACTACAAGTACAAGTCTTATCCGACATTTTCTTGGATCAACAGCATCAACCACAGAACATAAACTCCTTCAAAGATCTTCACTGTCCTCAAGCGCTCCAAGATCTTCAAACTCAGTCGCTTCCTCAAGCAACTCTGGCCATAGTTCTGCAGAAAATTCAAGGAAATATATGCACACAATAAATTAATACGAAAGAGATGCGTGGGGTGCCACGTCAAATTTAAATATCTAGGAGTATTGGCTAGAAAACCTTAGAAAGTGCACACCGACTGTAAAATGTGTAAAACATGATTCTTTGTAGATTGATATAATGAGAAACATGTTTAATTTTATAACATTTTTCTATGAATAAAAACTTCAACTTTTGTATTTGAGTTTTAGTCATACAAGTTTCTTCTCTTGACTAAGAGACAACATCCCGGAAAAAATCGCGAAATTTTCTTGTACTTCTTTGTACGTAATTTTTTTCCGCACGTCTACGTATCATTAAAAAATATCGCGTACCGTTTAAACCAAAAAATATTTTCGTAGTTAAGTATATGTATACACAAATGAGTCACATTTGACTCATGCACTTATTTTAATACGCTGTCGCGAATATAAATATTTATATGCATATTACCCATATAAGTTGTAGGTGTTTAAATTATTGAATGGTAATATAAAATATTATTGAGATGTGTATTTCTTAGTAAGTAAAAGAAAGTTTTTTTTAAATTTCTGTCCTTAAATAATTACATCCTTCGCTCAGTAAATTCAAAGTATCTAAAACCATCCTACCAATATTATAAATATGAAAGTTTGTGCGTGAGTGCTATTGTTTAATAGAGTTGCCACCTTTTCAAAAGTAAAAAAAAAAAACAAAATATTAATTAATTGTTTAAACAAAATTACCAACAATGTGGGTGCCAAGCGAAAGAAGTTCCCGATTTATTTCGAAAGTATTTTTTACGTAGTTGTCATCTGTTGAAAAATTTAAAATCGATCAATTGATATGTTAAACGAAAAATTGTAATATGGGTATCAAACGAAAGCGGTTTGAGAAAGTGTTATTAAAATGATATGTATTTATTATGGGGTTGCCACCTCTTAAGAAAAAAAGTTTAATGAAATTTTACAAAAAAGTAGTGAGAGTATTTCCGGAAATTAAAAAGGTTAAATTCAATTTCGTTAATAAGTAAAATTAAGTAGTAAAATAGGGGTGGGAATCGAATAAAATTTAAAAAAGCATTATTTTGAAAATATTTTTAGGATGATTGTCACCTATTACAAAGTGAAGTCCTATATTTTCATAAATTATATAAATCATAACAATAAAGGTGTCTATCGAATGAGTTATAAGAAAGCTTTGTTTCGAAAATATTTTGAAAGAGGTCACCTGCCGCCTGATTAAAATTAAAATTAGTCAATAAGTTAAATTAAACATTAAAAACAAAAAAGTTTAAGAAATTTTTGTTTCGAAAATACATATTTTTAAAATTCAAATTAAATTTAGTCAGCTTGTTCAATGAAATATTCCAATAAACACGTCAAGCGAAACAGAACGTAATTCAAAAATGTTTTAACAGGGGTTACCACCTGTTCAAATGTTAAATTAAATTTAATAAAATTTTACAATACGTATTTTAAACGAAAGATTTTTAAGAAACTTGATTAAAAAAAAGTTTCTAAAAAATTAAATTCTATTTAAGTGAATATTTTCAAAATAGAATATCTCTCTTCTTGCAGCAGAGATTTTCCGCTTTCCAAAATTTTAATTTATTTCTTCTCATTAAGCCAAATGAACTATAAAAACGAGGTATTGATATGAAACAAAAAGGAAAAATTTTTTAAAGGAATTGCCAGATATAAAAATTATTTTAAAAATTTATGTATACTGTACATGTATAAAAAATAGCTGCGAAATGTACGTTTTTTTCTAGTTAATTTAGTTTCTTTTTCACAATTGAAATCATGACAATAAACCGTATTTCACGAGGGCGCAGCTGCGCTAAAAAGAGAGTAGACATTTGAACGAGCATTAAATAACACAAATTTGAATTAGAATTTGGGCACTAAAAAATAACTCCAAGTGTTATGCCGAATTTCCACTAGGCATTGAAATGGCAAAAAATGTATGTAATTAAAAAAAAAATGCCATGTGGAAATGAACTTAATGAATATTTTTTTAACGTAATGACACGATTATTTTTTAATGCCTAACTTTGTAATTTGTCATTTTTAGCATTTAATGTCTAGTGAAAATCCAGCATAACTTGTTTTTTCTACATGAAATTTTTTAAATTGCAAAAATTGTTTGTCTTTTAAATGCCTCGTGGAAATTCGGCATTACTTTCATCTATTGTATCTGCTAACAATTAAAACTCAAAAGTAAACAATAAATTCGCGTACAATTTTACCATATAAAAAGTCAATGTCCCGCTTCCTACACGCTTTGCGCTTACCACAATCACTTCAGTTTGATAAAGAGATCAACCTGCACATTAAACTTGTCTCCAAAGCAAAGCAACACAAAGCAGTTGAAAGCTATTTAGAGCTTGAGTTGAGTTTCAATGTGATTAGTTGCTCAACACCTGGCAAACTTAATCTTTCCGCCTAAGCGCACAACGCAAAGGCACAACGGCGTAAATCATGCAGATAAGCTGTATAAAGCGCTTCGTTTCACATGAACAC